GTAACCAGATATATGCAAGGAGTATTTGTAAATAGACCAGCACTACCACGTTATAAACAGATCTGGGATGTGTCTGTGGTTATAAAATATCTCAAATCTTTGGGTGAGAATACACAACACTCCCTACAAGATCTGACTATGAAGACAACCATGCTGCTTGCCCTTGTTACTGGACAGCGTTGCCAGACCATACAGGTCTTGAACATTGAACAGATGGTTAAGAGTGATGACATGTGGTCCTTTCATATAAAAAAACTGTTAAAAACCTCTCGACTTGGAAAGCACTTTGGAAGGATTGAGATCAAAGTTTTTACAGCAGACAAAGTGATATGTCCAGTAAATGTCCTCAAAGAGTATGTGGCAAGGACGCTACCTTTAAGAAAGAACAATTCTCAACTACTTTTGAGTTACCAGAAACCACATAAACCAGTTTCATCAGAAACCATTGGCAAGTGGATCAAAAAGACTTTAACTAAAGCAGGCATAGACATTAAGGTATTTGGTGCTCACAGCACAAGATCAGCATCTACATCTGCAGCAAAAGTTGGCAACATGCCAATTAGTACCATTATGGACGCAGCTGGGTGGTCGAACACGAAAACATTCAGTAAATTTTATGACAAACCAATTGAAAGTAATCAAAAAGAAAATTTTGGTCATAGACTCTTAGAAATTGTTAACGTTGATTAAGCATGTATCGTGTTGATATTGTTGTTATTAAAGCAAAGTTACAGTGCTCATGGTCATTACTTTAAAGTCTCACACGTGACTCCGTAGCGAACTAACCAATGACGAAGTAGAATTAGAAAATTAAACGAGACTTACCTGTAAGGTGAAGTTTGATTGAGATTCTACGAGTTATTGGTTAGGAGCGAAGGAGTCACGAACCCACCCTACGGTTTACCCAGCCCTACGGCTTTACAGCGGGTACTAAATATCAATGACCATTCGCACTCCCTTTAAAGACTGCCGCTCGATCCTTCCCGCGCTATCTCACACGTGACTCCTTCGCCCCTAACCAATAACTCGTAGAATCTCAATCAAACTTCACCTTACAGGTAAGTCTCGTTTAATTTTCTAATTTAATGGAAACCAGGCTTTATGCACACGTGACCACCGAGTTTATACTTGATAGTGCACTTTTTATAAGATGAGATGTAAGATACAATTGTACGAGATAATTGATGTAGGACAATGTGTAAAACAATAAATCATACATACGACAGTGAAAAAGACACTTTTTGGTTGAAGTACATCCTGCATATACATATCGGCAGCATTTTCCTTGCGATAGTACTCCTAGTAATAATTTTAATTTCTTCCTGTGTAGTAAGATGAGTTACTCGGTTGTGTCATGTAAATAGTCACAGGAAAACTATAAAACGAGTTTACATCAAATTCTAGGCCTAGATCGATCTTGTCGTTGCCGAGTGAATCGGTTAGAAAGTAGCTCGCCTCCATATGAACATGTCTACGATTTGCGTTCTGCAAGTGCCGCTATATATTATTTATTTTTTTAAAGCCGTAATTGCCGCTCTGAATGAGCTGTTGTTTACAAATCCTTACCAACTCTCTTTTCACGATGTCATTGACATTGTCTGTATAAAACTGTAGGCAAAGCAACAGAGATCTTAGTAAAATATATTTCTTAAAATTGCTGAAATTTTACATTCGGCCCTCCTTTAAATTACTGATATTTGCCAAAATTTTTGCGAGTATACACGCGTCACTTGTTTACGTCCACCAAATGTCGGGGCTTAACTCGAATGCTTGAATCGTTAAAATTGACTTCGAGTTAAGCCCCCTGCGAAAAAGGGCGTGGTAGGGGCATAACTCGAAAAGGGCTTAACTCGAAGGGCTCAACTCGAAAAATACCTACCCCCTTTCCCCACCCCCCTCGGGCGCTAAATTTTGGACGAGGCACGTGACCAGCCGATACCAGGGTCTTTCCTAAAGACCGTGGGAACGAGGTTGTATCTCACCCTCTACTATATAATAGTATGTGATATACAATATAGGCTGGGTTCAACGAAATGGTCTGAAATTCGACGAAAGTGAAGTAAATGACACAGTAAACAAGTAAGTCCACCAATATTTTGGATCAGTGCGTATTTTAATAGGCATTATTTTTTTACAGTATTTTACAATATAGAAAGTGTATATTAAACATAGACGTACCGGGCGGGGGGGGGGG